CTTGATCTTTCATCTAGTATTTTGCTATACGTATTGCATCACTCGATACGTTGGTTTCTATGTGTTTCAATGATTAATACATCAAAATCTTGAACTTGATCCTCAATAGAAATACCAATCAACTCAGTTCGGTGTAGATGATTTTTATTTGTGATTACATATGATCCAAGTTCAACTAGTAGTCATATGTAATTTTTAAATGGTTCTCGTTTCTTAAAAAAAAAAAAAATTAACACTGAACAAAGAGTTTAACTACGGTACCAAAATAGGTACAATAACGAAATTTACAAATTTTATGGGTAAAGACACAACTTTTAGGGATTTAGTTACAACAAAAATATTTAAGATCATCCTAGTATTTTAGAATCATTTTAAAAAATATATAATTTTTTGAATCACGTTACAATTTTTTCGAATGAAACTATAAATTTTGGGTTACAATTTTTTCGAATGAAACTATAAATTTTGGGAGTCAAGTTATAACTTTTCAGGGGTGTTTAGGATTGATCATGTCATCATAACATTTCAAAATCGATCACTTAAAACTCCCAATAAATTATAACTTAGACTCTAAACAATTTATAGGGAGAATTACACCCAAATTTTTTAAAATTTGTCACTTAATCACTTAAATCCATTGACATTTGAAATATTGCATACAGACCTCTTAAAGTTTGTAAGCACATAACACTTAGACCTCTATCATCAATGTTCGCTAGTTTATCTGTTAAGAAATTACAATCGCCCCCATAAAATTTTTGGGCATGTAATATTTAGATTCTTAAAGTTTAAAATATTTTTTTTAGACAAAAAATACCCCACTTAAAGATAAAATATCAAATATTTTAAATTTTATAACTAAAATTCATATTCTATTATATTATTTATTGAAATAAAATCAAAAATAAAAATTTAATTTTTCTTTAAAAAAATTATAATTGATATACAATTATACTATATATTGAAATCAAAAAGTCAAATAAGGGGTCAAACCTTAATGGACACAATATCTTATATTTTTAATTGAGATAATTTGGTCGTTTAATAAATTTTGTTAGTTCTGTAACTAATAAGTAGTCTAAGTGTAATATTTTAAAATTGAGGAGTCCAAGTGTTATATAGTTACAAACTCTAGGGGTTAAAGTATAATTTACTAACAAATTTCGTAACGGATATTGACGGTAGGAGTTTAAGTGATACGCGTGTATAAATTTTAAGAAGTATGTGTGTAATATTTTAAATATTAAGAGATTTAAATAATTAAATGATAAATTTTAGGAGTTCGGATATAATTCTCCCAAATTTATAAGTTAACCCCAAAAGTTAACACCTACCTATATGATACTTAAAAAAAATATTATTTTGGGACACCTAATTATAATAATTGGGATGAAAAGTCATTAGAAGTTACTATCTTGAAATTCAAGTTTGGTATCATAGACTTTGTCCATAGGGTGTCAACTCTGATCTGTTGATATGAATTCGGCACAAACTTGACACGAATATTTATAAAATTAACACGATTATTAAATATACATAATAAATAGTCTAAACTATTGTTTATTACTCAGAACACACTAAATATATATTTTTTTCTGTGAGTCTTGACAAGAATATGACACGAATAACAATAACACAACACGAATAACATAACATGTGATTCACACAAACGTGACATGTTTGACACTCCTAAATGTCTATCAACAAATAAGACAAGCAACTTAATATGCAAATTATAATAATTTTGATGAAAAGTCATTAAGATGTTACTATCTTGAACTTCAAGTTTTGATCATTTGAGGGTAATGATTAGTTTAATGATCAGTGTCCCAATATTGGACCTTAAAGTCATATATTTAAGTATCGTTATCCCCTCCTTGTAAGAGTGCCTATAAAAAAAATCATTCGACGAATATTATGATTACTCAAAGAATGTGACTGGAGGTTACTCTAGGTACTATGAGATTGATTATGAAATATCGTTATCCCCTCCTTGTAAGAGTGCCTATAAAAAATAAAAAAAAAAAATCATTCGAAGAATATTATGATTACTCAAAGAATGTGACTGGAGGTTACTATGGGTACAATGAGAATGATTATGAAGTATCGTTATCCCCTCCTTGTGAGAGTGCCTATAAAAAATAAATAAACAAAATCATTCGAAGAATATTATGATTACTCAAAGAATGTGACTTGAGGTTACTATAGGTACTATGAGAATGATTATGATGTAGAAAGAAGTATTGAAAGTTTAAACTTTTTAATTATGGATTCATTATGTATCATAATATCTCATGATCGATCGTAAATACTTTGTTCGATTGTAAATTCATATTTAAAAAGTGTAATTTGACTACTAAAAATAAAATCGTTCAGTTCGATATCGAAATTAATTATTCAATCACAATTTTTTTTGATCGATTATGAATAACATTAATCAATTGTCACTTCATATTTAAAAGTTTTAACTTGACCATTAAAAACAATAATTTTTGATATAATACTAATTTTTTTTCCCAATAAATGTAACACTATTCATATGTTATTAGAAAAATAAAAAAAATAGTATTCTTGTACTATAATTAGACCCCATACATAGACCACAGTTATGACTGTTAATCAAACTAAACTACTTGAGTTTGAATTGAAAGTGGCTCGCGTTCAGGCTCGGTTTGTTTTCTAAACAAGCCCAAATTTGAACAAATTTTTATATTTGTTTAAAAAATAAGCCCTATAAACTCGGCTCAAATTCGACGGGCTCGACTTATTTATGTGTAAATACTTGGACTCGACTCGGACTTGACTTATTTTTTGCTCATTCAGGCACGACTCGTTTCCTAAACAAGTCCAATATGAACAATTTTTTTAACTCGATTAAATAACAAAACTTGCAAACTCAGTTCAGACTTATTTGACTAACGGCCCTCCATGGTCACCGAAGGAAGTAAAAGTCATGGTCTTCATGATCCTAAATCAATACTGGTGGCTCTTATCTTATTGTGCACGAACAACACACTTCAGCCGTCCGATCGCAAGTGCAACCTAGTCCGCAAGCACTAGCCTTTTCTTGGTAGACAATCCATTAACGAGTCACGGACCCATTTGTATTTAATGGTCTCACTTAAATGCAAAATAATTATTCAACAAGAAAGAAATTATAGTAGAAAAGATTTATGTCTAAATAGTATTACTATTTTTTTTATTTATTTACACATTTATTGATCATCGATATTACGTCACAAATGTTATTGCAATGAACACGTTTTTCAGTGCAGACCCGGTTCAAGAGTGTTCCATCCGGTCCGAATATTTGACGAGGGAAGACTTCACGCTACTCCATGTCCCGAAAACAAAAATTCCTTTCCTCCCTCAACTGACGAACTCTTTTTTACCGTACACAAAACTCCAATTTTTAAATTACATAGTACTCCCTAAAAGATTTATAACAATTTCAATGTATACCCTCAAAAATATATTTCCTACTCTACACATTTTTTTTGAACTATTACATTACACATTCAATGTGGTAATGACTTATTTGGTAGATATATTATGAGGAGATTAAATATTGGAATATACTATTTTTTATTTATTCGGGTCTAATACTTTATTTGGTAAGTAAATTTGATATCATATCAATTTTAAAAATGTATACTAATCATATATTTATAGTATATTTTTTGTATAATAATACCATTAAAAGATGTGGTATTATAATCCAACTCAAACGTATTATTCTATATATTTACTATTATAACCTCCAACTGATAAAATCAATATATCGTCAATGTAACAAACATTGATTGATGATATTTTTGTTAATTTAACATTAATACGATGAAATAATTCTCTAACTAAATAACCGATTGAATTAAATAACTATATGTAACGTTTATGTTGTGTATTGTCAAATATTAGATAAAATTACGTATTATTCTAATATTTCATTTAATCTTGTATTTTGTCATTTTGTATTGTATTACACTAGATTATTTTATTTAATCTATCAATTTTTAATACGATAACCAAATGAGCTTTAAAAGTATTGCAATGTAACTCTTCCGTTAACTTCTGCTGCTCATTTCATCAATGAGATGATTTTTAATGCAATAAATAAATAAAATTAATTGAAGGACTATATTACAATACTTTTAATATATATATTTATATATATATATATATAGTCAATAAAAGGGGAGAAGGAGACTAGTACTAGTAGGTAGTAATCTTTGGGCGTGCGTGTGATTAGTAAGGTTCTCTTTATTATGCAATATCTGATTTGAGTCATACTTACTAATTCGGAAGGACAATCTCTCATTACAACACCACCAAAACTAAGCAGCAAACCACATTACTCTTACAAATCGAACCCTCTACTTAATAACCACATTAGAATCAATGACAATCCTGAATGAGTATGACTTACTACTAGACTATCAACTCGGGTGATTTTTAATGTAACAAGCAACTGAAGTTAACGGAAGAACTATATTAAAATGATTTTAATACATTATAGGAGTGTAATATAAGAAATTTTTGTTGAGAGTATAAAGTGAAAATTCTTATATGTTTTGGGGTTCAAAGTATGATTCCCCTTAATATTATTTAACTCAGTTTCCATATATATGTCGATATTTACAAAAGCCCTAAATTCTCGATCGGGTCAGAATCTACAGGGAAAGCATGACGACAAGGTATTTTTCCAGTCTTTCACGGCTAATGTAACTTTATTGCTTGCCCAAGCGATATGCTCTGAATAATCTATACACACACACATATATATTTCTTATTTTTATCGTCACCGTCATAACCAACCCTTCAATTTCTGTCAGAATCTTCAGTATGTAGCAATCGTCGACGGTTCTGATCGTGTCTTGATCAGCCTCTGCATGTGCAATCGGTTTCATTTTCTGTATAGCGGTCGGAATTTTTTTGATTATTGGCGAAGAATCTATGAATGTGAAATTAGGGTTTGGGGAAAATTTGTTTTTGTTGTATAAATGCGTGTGGGAGGGGATCTAGGGCTTTTGTCGAGCTTTGTGGTGGTGGTGGTGGTGGTATTGGGACCGGTGATCGGGTTTTTTATTGTCCGCCGGAAATGGCGGCATGCGGTGGCCAGGAGAGAGGAGATCAAGCGGCTTTTGGTTTTCGCTTCGGAAGAGGCGGCTAGGGCCGAGCTCGAGGCCACCACTGGGTCTAGCTATGACTACGGCTCTGCGGCTGTGGAGGTATCGGCATCACATTCCCGGCAGTTGCAGTATCATTGTGCTGTGTGCTTTTGCCCAACCACCAGGCGGTGCGTCCAATGTAAAGCTGTTCGGTACTGGTACGGTAGTTCAGAACCCCCATTTGTGAAATTTTGAGTTTTTGGGTACAGTTGCGAGATTTATTTGGCCAAGGTTTTGTTATTTAGTGTTTCTCGTATTTGAGTAAAATTTTGTGTTTCCATATTTGACTAGAATTTAAGTCCGTATTTGGGTCATTTTTCAGATACTGGATAATATTTGGAACAATTTGTTATAAGTTTGCGTATTTCCTGTGCATGAAATTGGAGATTGTTAGAGTTAAGTGGATTTGTAGACTACAGTTTTGGGGAGGGAAAGGTCGATTAATGGGCATTTGTCAAACACAGTTTTCGGGGAAGACTTTCATTGTTTGCTCTTCTTCTGAGCTCAAAATCAGTATGTTTATGGCGAACATATCTTTGGACCAAAAGAAGGAAAGTGGCTGATATGTAAATGCTTGCAAAAAATGCCGGAAGGAATGTTATGTGTCCTAACTATGACTTTAATTCGAACAGGTATTTTGAGTCTTTGACTTCTTCCCATCATACCTGACAAACGGCCTTATGATCACATAAATCTGAATCATTGGCATCTTTGCAATTTTTTGATATTACTAAAAACCTGCTCAATGTGATGCAGAATCCCCTTTCATATGTAAGAATCGATATACATGCAAACTTGGATATACTTTTAATGGTCATGATGTGTCACATACATGCGACAAAATGAGGCAGTACTGAAATAGTGGTAAAATGTTCCACAGATTTAAGTTTGAATTTTTATGACTGTGGATGATACAAAACCTTGTTCAGCATTATGCCTATCATGGGGAACTATATTAACTTATAAGGCCATGACTTATATCCCATCTATATCAGCATCTAAATGAAAATCCCCTTGGTAACAAAATGTGGACAACGAACATGGTCTGCGGTCACACCACAACGGTGGTGTTGGAACTTCCATTGATGGAATCTTATAAATTTTGTGACTCGAGGAAACCTATCATGTTTGTGAATTCATTATGTAATTGATGCTACTTAAACAGCTGGTTTGGTTTTTGCTTCATCTAATCAAAGTCTCTTCTAGTGTACACAGGTGATTGAAATTTTGGATGTAATCAAAAATGGACACAATTGCTTCTTTTTCTGTTAATGTATCTGTACTTCTATGAAGATTTAGTAATCTACCCCAAAGAAAGGTGATGATTGACAACCATCCCACATAAGGGGTTGTCATGACATTAAGGGGTTGTTATGACATTAAGGAATTAAACTGCCTGATGCAGGTATAGTAAGTTGTTGGCCATGTCCACTCCATTGCAAAACAAAAAAGGAAATCGGTACATTTTGTGTGGGTATATGAGATGTAATGAGGGAAAGTGCTGGGAAGGAAAAAAATCGAGGCGATGCATAATTAAATTCTGGAGGCATATCATATGAATCCTTTTCTTACTCCTAGTTTGGTAAAATTGTCCCCTCTGAAATGAAATCTTCATCTTACTTTCGGCTTGGGATATTGTTTTGTAAGATTTAGTGTGTTCATAACTTGTATCTTATGATGTTTCTAAGAAAACTAATACTCTATATAGCCTGCACTTACGAATATTTTCTATCTAGTTCATCCTTTGACCTTTCAATTTTTTTTCATACAGCATTGAACCAAGTTCTTTACCCTGGCAATAAATTACATGGGAATCTTTGCCTACTCCTCACAAGATTCATGGTACTGTTATGGTTGTATGTATTGATTGTTGCTCGTCGTCATCAACCTTTGTATGTATTTTGCATCTATGCATATAGGTGCATGTTGTCTGGGGCGAAGCTACAAATTAAGTCTTGGGTGGACACTTAAAAATAAATATTGATTAATTTTTTTAATCAATAAATATATAGTAACTAATTTATATCTATATAATAAAATACATAAAAATTTAAATTTTTATCCCCTACATATTTTCTACCCAAAATATCACATCACCCATTTTTATCATATGTTCAATCATTTAATATTTGATTAATTTATAGTTTAGCATATTTTTTATTTCAAACATTATCCATATACGATAGTATACACATGTTGAAAAAATTTAATATAATGAGATCAATTTTTTGGGAGCTTGAATTTTATGTTCTATCGTGCCTTAAGACACGGGTTATAGTTAGTTTATTTTCGTAGAAGCAAATCATTAAAAAAAAATCAATAATTATCCAAATCCAAGCAGTCTTATGCTTAAATTCAAAATACAAAAGGCCAAAAATTATAAATATGCAAATCCATGACAATTGCAGAAAGTCCTAACATTATAACAAACTAAACATTTAATTACGACTAATTTCACTCATTATCAACAAATCACTATTAAATCAAGAAAATAAACTAAACAAAGAAAAATATCATGGATATAATTTCTGAGTTATCAAAATAATGTTTGATATTTTAATAGAAAGTGTTAGTCACGTATTCATAAGTATTAGATATGGGTTTGTACGAAAATAATAGGTTGGACGCACCCAAAAAAAATTCTCAAACAAAACTTTAATATATACATATGATTTTTTTTAAAAAAAAAAAAAATCAAGGGTGGGCCCTAGCCCCCATGTGGCTCCGCTATTGTATTTTGTCATATATATATATATATATATATATATATATTTTGTCATATATATACATAACCCCGTGTCTGAAGACACTCTATAATACCAAAAACAGAACATTGATTGTGTAATATTTATATTTAAAATAACAATTTATTTTTTTTAATTACGCAATTTAAAATTAAAGTGAATACATAAAAAATAAGAAAGAGGTAGTTGTGAATTAATGGAGTTGTTTGACATTGGGGAGGATGTTAGTTGAGTTGACTGACATTGGGAGCTATGCAGAGAAAATGATGTTTTTGAGTAGAAACTTTTTTTTTTGAAATGAATTTTATACTATAAGAATTGAGTAGATAAAAATTAGATTAATCTTGAACATTATTGTGTTTTTATAAGTTGAAAATCAACTACTAGCTGTAATATTATATATATACAATTACTTTTTGAATGCAAACTACGTATCGTAAGTAAGTAGTTTCAAGTTGTTCATTCATTGAAAGCTAGAGCGATTCTTTGATAAATGATCCCTATGAGTTAAAATCAGTAGAATTTGATCTCCAATGACAAATATAACTCTAGGAGTAGAGCCATATCATGATTATCCTGTTCCAATATTTCTTGCTAATAGAATACCTGATGTGGCAATTTCACCTAGAAGTAGAAGGTAATAGATTACTCCTACATCACGTTCTTTGCATCCTCTTGATAGTATGATTCTAGCATCTGAATGTGCAAATATTGTATTGGGATAGCATTGATCAGGTCTTCTGCATTTATACTCTCTCTCTCTCGTGCGCGTGCTTACAAACACACTGTTGGCCAGTTTGAACTACGTCATGACTAATTTTATTATAAAATTCTATTGTCACATCCACTTCAAATATATACTCAAACTGAACCGCTCCGTTCAGATATATGAACCCCAATTTTGGGGGAATGTAGAGTGCTATGGCATGCTGAAGAGGAATATAATTGTGATCTACTGCTTGCTCGAAATGGGTATCAATAGGCTTGGGTTTATATAATTGACATTGATGGAAGGTGTTTTTTCGATCTCCCTCATGGAATGTGTTGGGTATTTTCAATTGTGAGGGGTTTTGTCTAAATTTGGACATTGTTGATAAAAACAAATATTGTGAAAATGCACAGTTCATTCATTTATATATTGGGAGTCTATTTTTGTTTCCACGTTTAAATGAACATTAAGTGTAGGCTATACGATAGTTGTTGAGCTCGAGATGTACTGTGACCTGTTCCATTTTTCATATCTATATGTGACAAAAAGGAGAATATTCAGGAAATTTTTTGGAACTGCCTTGTTTCATACTCTGAAATGGTTTGGAATTGACTTTTTAATACTGCAATTCACCATATAATTGTTGGTTCTTGGTTACTTTGTTTGGATACTTGGACAATTTTTTCGAGTTCTTGAAGAGTAGTAACTAAGTAGTTTCAAGGTTGGACATAAAATTATACTTTATTTATTTATTTATTTATTTTTTGAGGGGGGGGGGGGGTGGAGCATTTCTTTACTTTTAGTATAGCAGCTAACTAGCATGTGCAAAGTATCGATACTTTAATGGGATGCTGTTTTGTTCACGAGAATTTTTGAATGTTGCAGCTCAGGGAAATGTCAAATTATTCACTGGAGACAAGGTCACAAGGATGAATGCCGTCCTTTTATCACTGTTCACCAGATCAATGATGTGGAAGGCATTTCTAATCTGAAGGCATCAAAACAAGGAGAAATTGAGAGTTGTGGTAATGTCTTTGAGAACGAAGGGGAACAGCATGCTAAACCAGTGGAAACATCCATTGACAAGCCTTCAAGTTCTTATTCCAGTCGCTTGGAAGTACCTCATGAGAAGGGTAATATTGCAGATGAGTGTGTTGCATATGACAAAGGAGCAAATTTGGCCTCTAAAATTACCACTCACTTATCATCTAAGGGTTTTTCTGCATCCCCTACATCTAGTGAATCATCTGTTGATGCTTCTGCCGGTGATTTAAATGATTCTTGGAGATTGAATGAGCATCAGTCCACTAATGATGCTCTGGAGAAATTTGACACTAATTGTGTAAACAGTAATCAAACCAAGCCACCTTTCTCAAAGCACCCCCATTTGGCCAACTGTGTAGATAATTTTATCAGTTCAGGTAAGTTTGAACAAATCAAACCCAGTTGTATTGAAGGAGATAATCAGTGTGGATCATCAAGTTCATCACGTTGGAGTGTTGATGGCTCCCACGGGTCTTCATTTTCTGAGCCTTCTACACCCTCTTCTGGTTTCTGGGATGGAACTCTCGACTCCAGTAGGTTTAGAAATGATCCGCTTGATAATTCTGTTCAGTCTAGTTCCACTGAGGCTGGTGATGGAAATATGTCAGAATCTCATTCTTCTCTAAGTCCTTCCTTTGCTTTGGCTGGAAATGCCGTTTCTTCCGTGGATGTACAAGGCTCTGACACCAAAACTATCATTCCGAATAAAGCTCAATCAACTAAGTTGGGGATCAAGGAGCCTACTGACAGAACTAAACTACCAGAAGATATAAATAAAACTAGTTCGAAGTCCATGGGGTCATTGTCATCGAGCTCTGAAATTTCTGCTCATACTGTTGTTGACACCTGCTGTGAGTCTCGTGTATTGAAAGCTGGTGAAATTTCTTCATCTAAAGCATGTCAAGCTAATCCAGCTTCGGGCACTGGAAGGCATTCATTAATTAAAGATGCTTTGAAGGTCAGTCGGTTGCCATCCTTGTGCGTTGAGCGGCCAAATATTGGGCTTAATGACATAAGCTGCACTTTGCATGTGCCACAATCTAAAGAAGGATCTTTATCATCCAAAGGTTATGGTGCTCATTTATCTTCTAGCACTGGAAGACATACAGTCCAGAGTGTGCAATCGGTGCCAATTGAGACTGCTCACAAGGCTGCGACTGGTTCCTCTGAGTTTCCCAGTCCATCACAGAATGCTAGGAAAGCGTCAGTGAGGAAAGTTGGTGACCTGCTCAGAGTGTCCAACTCTTCATGTCATCCTTTAGGAGCCGGGAGTGAGATTGTGGGAAGATACAGTAACAAGGTTTGGCTTGCAGCTTGGTGTGTTGTTTGGGCTATACTGTGTTCATGTTTTATAATGAAATAGGCTATATAGAATATGTCTTTGTTTTTACAGGGTCTCTTTCCATACGAACTGTTTGTGAAGCTTTATAATTGGAGCAAGGTTGGATTGCACCCGTGTGGCCTTATGAATTGTGGGAACAGGTAATTTAAAACTTGTCCTGATTGTGGCAAACCAGATTTTAGTGCAAAATGGCAACATTCATTGGCTTTTTGTTCTGGAACTTTGTTTGTTATTTGCGAATAGATGCATTATATCATGCCTATTATTTTACCCCAATAATTGCTAATGTGACATCAGTGATTACCTACATTCTTCCTTTTACAGTGAATTTATGGCGTATACAGTTGATTTTATTGGCCTATTAAATATTCCAAATTATAAATGTAAGAATATTCGTTGATGTGGCCAATCAGATTTATTGGCATATGATGGAAAGTTGGAAACTATGCATATGATGGAAAGTTGGAAACTATGTCGCACAAATTCTCTTACAGGATTTACTTGTCGTTTGATATCTATTCTTAGTGGATTTCATTTAAAACAGTCAGAAGTTGTCTACAAAGGTAGTGATGAGAAGTATATGTTTCCCTCTAAGTAAACGCAACTGCCCCCACACTCCCTTGGAAGCTTGCATCTATGATTATGGTTATGCCTATGCATGCATGGTAGTTATGATTGTACAAATTTTGTTGTGTGTCATATTTTTCACGTGAACAGTGCAGGATAGAGATTCACTTGTCATATTTGTATTACCCTATATTTGAGAGGTCACTCCAAGTAATTGGGACAAGGTTTGGTTTGGTTTGGTCATATGTGCATTGCTTCTTTTAAATCTCCTGCAGTTGTTATGCTAATGCCGTGCTCCAGTGCTTGGCTTTCACCCCGCCTCTCACTGCTTATTTTCTCCAAGGGCTTCATTCCAAATCATGTATGTCCCTGATTATGATATTGATGCACACTTTGTCATTTGGAGTTGGCATTCTGCTGGATTCCTTATGCATGAAATTCCTTATTTGCACTCTTTTATATCAGGTGGAAAGAAAGAATGGTGTTTCACTTGTGAATTTGAAAGTCTAGTTCTGAAGGTAAAGGAAGGGAGTTCTCCACTAACTCCAATTGGGATTTTATCCCAGCTACAAAACATTGGAAGTCACCTTGGTAATGGCAGACAAGAAGACGCGCATGAATTTCTGAAGTGAGCTGACTTTTTGCATTTTTGGAGCCTGTTCAGATTATGTGTTTTTTCCCTTACAATCTTTTAATACATGTTTAAGACAAATTAATTGAGGAATGATTTGACAGGAATGCTATTGATGCTATGCAATCTGTTTGTCTAAAGGAAGCTGGGGTAAATGCATCAGGTTCTTTGGAAGAAACCACTCTCATTGGCCTTACATTTGGGGGATACCTCAGATCAAAGGTAATGCATGACCTTTTATATAGGATAAAAAATGAAAGATTTAGTGTGTTGTTGTGTGCCTGTGCATTGTTTTATCTATGGCTTGCACTTCATTTGCCATATGAGAGAGGATTCTCCATAGAACACGAATAATGCATGTAAAGTTTGATACTGTATTGTGCAGATAAAATGCATGAAGTGTGGAGGTAAATCGGAGCGACATGAAAGGATGATGGATCTGACTGTTGAAATAGAAGGCGATATTGGTACCCTTGAAGAGGCTTTACGGCAGTTTACGAGTACTGAGATTTTGGATGGTGAAAACAAGTATCAATGTAGCAGGTTGGTTGGTTTAGTTTGTTTCTTCAAGCCCTCAAAGAGAATCATTTGGTATTATTGGGCATATCGTGATAATGATATTCTAATTGTCCACAACTACACCTTTTTGCCAAATCCACTAGAAGAGTTACCTTACAATGATTGCGGCAAAAACACCCAGAACCTTTCTTAATTCGTGTTTTTTTTTTTTAATTATTGTAACGGGCTTCACATTGCATGCTTGGTTCCCAATATCTCAGTTCTCGTTTTCCTACAATGATTGGGCCTTTTACTTTTCCTGTTGAGACTCCTCACTGTGGGAAAGCTTTATGTGGGCATGCCTTTATTGCATGACTTTAAATTTGATAACCCATCAGAAGGCCTATGTTCCTCGTCAGACACCAATGACCTTTAGGAGTGTGGCGTAAATCAGTGCAGGTTTCACATTGGGCAGTAGTTTCACAATCTGGTAGATCATGGTTTATCCCACATACCTGTGGTTAATGCTTTGTGATGTGATTCCAGATCAATTTCTTTTATAAGTTATTTGTAGAAGGTTGCAAGAAAATTATGTGTTTTCATGTCGCCTATTTAAATGCTCACGGAATGTGTTTACTTTGTACAGTCAATTCTATTTTAGCTGTTGATGAAAAGCATGGGCTTTTTTTCCATTTCGATTAGTTAGTTGTGTAGAATGCAGTTTGTTTAAACCCGCTGAAACTATCATGTCACTGTACTATTTGGATTGCTTGTGGTACATATGACCTAGTTTGATTATTGTTTGTGCTTCTCAATTATGAGTGAAAAATTCGTGGTGACCCCTTAAAATGCTGTGCTAGATGTGGAAGATTAGGGCCACATGCAATGTGTACCTAGAGATATTTTATCATGTACTCTGGTGCAGGCGTAGCATGCGTATATTCCCATCATTTGAATTTGAATAGTATATTTGCATTTGTGTACAAATTATAGTTTGCACCGGTTGTTTATATTGATGAAAAGTAAATGTCAAATGATTTTAATCGCTTCCAGGTGTTTATTCTGTTGGTTGAGTACTTTTTGTTAGATTGAAATGGACATTATAATTGATTTTTCATAGAGGTATGTTTATGAAATTGTGAATTAGGTAAGGAAGAAGTGTTTAATTTCATAATATTTATTTACAAACGTGTGTCATTTCAATTTTTGTAATCACTTCCTGTAATTGAATTTGGAAGAAACAGCATTGTTTCTTCTCTGCTTTGAATTAATGCCTGCTGCTTTCACCCGCTGCACTAGGTGACAACCCCTAAAAAGTCATTACCGAGGTTGGGGTCCAGACCTAATAATGTTTGTCCTCTTAATTTGCTGTATCTATTGTATGTAAATTAATGTTCTCTTAATTTTCTGTGTCAGTAATATGTAAATTAAGTTTCTCTTAATTTTTTGTATCGGTAATATGTAAATTAAGGATCTAAACCATTGTTCTCAGTGGCGGATTTAGTATGGGGGAAATTTTAAAAATTTTTGGGATTTAGGTGTAATTTTAAAAATTTCAAGAATTTCTTAAAACTTGCACCGACTGAAATTTTCTTAAAGTATAGGGTATATTAATATAATTTTCAACCCTTAAAAGCTAACTTTTGGCAGCTCCTCATTTTTCACTCCTGGCAATTGCCCCCACTGAAATTTTAAAAAATTTTGGGACCCAAGTATAATTTTAAAAATTTCAACAATTTCTTAAACTTACCCCACTAATATTTTTTTAAAGTATAGGATATATTAATATAATTTTAAACCCTTAAAAGCTAACTTTTGGCAGCTCTTTTTCGCTCCTTTTTTTTTTTTTTGCAAGCCTTTGTCTTCTTTGTCCAAATTTTCAGTCTAGTCTAGGTGTTCAACCGGCAACCCCTCTTCTTTCTTTTATTTAATTTTTTTGTTAGTTTCTTTGGTGTATTCAGCAACAAATCACACTATTGGAATTAATCATTGTACAAATCAAATTTGAAGAAATTCTAGAATATTATGTTGAAGCTAAGGAGAGATAATCTATTAATCAAATGTTTTGATAGTAGTATTAGCACTAATCTAAAATCAGATTTCTTATATTAGAAAATTAGTTTAACTCTTGTAGAATTGATGGTTGTTTGGTGCATTATTTGTGGACTTATGTAGTTTTTTTTGTTTCGTCTTGGGTCATTACTCAACTATTTTGGATTTTTGTTAAAGCCCATGTTCAGATTGCTATCTTAGATTCTTGGTTAGTGCTATTTTTCTTCCCTATGATTAAATTGATTTCTTGAAATTCTAATTTGGATTTATGGATTATATTTTGATTATGTGTAGTCCATTATCTTATTTGTTACGAACTTAATGACGAACTCTTAAACTTGAATTTAATTAGACAAATTTATTTTTTAATCAGCTATGAATAAGTTGCCTCCACATGTTACATGTCATTCTTTTAATCAGATGCAAATCTTATGAGAAAGCCCGAAAGAAGTTGTCAGTACTGGAGGCTCCTAATGTTCTGACTATCGCATTGAAGAGATTTCAGGTAATTTAGTAGATCGGGGTTGTTTATTACACTTCCTGGTGTTCACATTCTTCTTATCACTTGCTATACTTCGCATAATTGTGCAGTTGGGTAAATTTGGGAAACTCAATAAGTCGATTCGCTTCCCAGAGATTCTGGACCTAGCCCCATGTATGAGTGGGACAAGTGACAAGTCCCCAGTGTTTCGACTTTATGGAGTGGTAGTTCACTTGGATGTCATGAACGCTGCGTTTTCTGGTCACTATGTGTGCTATGTTAAGAATATTCAGAACAAATGGTTCAAGATTGATGATAGTAGAGTATGTTCTTTTTACCTTCAATTTGCACATTTAAACAAGTTTTTCGATTAGGGATTTATTAAGGCAACTTCTGTCTGCTCCACTTCTTTTCATATTTATGTATTGAGTTACTGAACAGGGGATTTATGTCATTTTCTCAAAGCTTTGAACCCAATTCTTGTGATGGTTGTGTAGGTAAAAGCGGTGGAACTGGAAAAGGTCTTGACCAAAGGGGCATACATGCTTTTTTATGCTAGGTAAATGTTCCAGGAGCTCTATATTTCGTGTCTCAATTTTTGTACCTCATCGGATGGATTTCTAATTGCTTCTAAATTCCTGTAGGTGTTCACCACGGACCCCAAAGTTAATAAGGAATTCAATAATTCCTCGTGATCCACGAAAATCTAAGAACCCAACATCTAAGTCAAGATCCCACTCCACAGGTCCATGGGATGTTTCCATTGGTACTGAATGCTCGTACTTAAATCATACTGGTTTCCAGATGATTCAGACAATTTTGGAAGAGGACTCTTCAAGTGACAAGTCTTCCTCTCTCTTCTCTGAGGCTTGTTCTTGCAGTACCGATAGCAGCAATAGGGATTCTAGTAGCACCGATGACTATGTTGATCAAATATTTGATTTGGGATGCAATGAGAATAGCCATTTCAGGAATTCCTCAGATTCTGACACCTCATCCTCCTCGTCCTCTCCTTCACCCTTGTACTCTAGGCATTCACCGCTTCCTGACTTGGATTGTTACACCTCAAAATATCCCAAGGCGAGTGACTCTCGGATTCACAATGCAGAATCAGCAGGTGTAGATGGTGATGGTCTTTGGGAAAGGCTAGCAAGCAGGAGTAGCAAAGTGGAAGCCTTGAACAGCAAAGGAAGTGTCCCTTTTTTGTGTTCCGACTCAACTAAGCATAGAAAGTTAGTTAGTAGAAGTTGTAGGGAGACTGAGGCAGATAGATTAGAAACGGTTAGCCCTTTCAACAACGCGAAAACTAGAGTATGTTTTAGAAGATCAACGAGGGGAAGGATGGATTAAAGGTTCAATTAGAGGTTTTGAGTTAAGAGAGAAGGGAATAAGAGTTCGGGCAGTGGGGTCAGGGATTGGTCGTATGTATACATACTCTTGCTGTTGGCTTCGTTGAAAACGAGCCATCATTTTGTCACTCTCTTCCCCATTATATATTTACACCATGTTTTTTAACATCTTTCACTATAGTGTACATAGGGATGGACAACCTCGCCAAATGAGCCCTAAATTGAACTAGGCTTAGTATCAACCATGATCGGATAATGGTAGTTTTTGTATCCTTAAGAGTAGTTTAAGTGATAATAAAGATGAGCTATAAATTTAGATATTTTGAGTTTGAATCTTGATAATTTCTTCAGATTAAGCTTGAGGGATTCATTCTTTATAAATATTTTAATTTTGGTGTAAAAGATTTGTCTTTGATTGAATCGGAGAGGAGATTAGTCGAGGTGTTTGTAATTGGTTCGGATATCTCCGACCGTTAAACAAAAAAAAAAACGATAATTTTTGTGGTATGTCTTCCAAAGTTGCAACCAAATTGGGTAAAATTACGACTTAATCATTAAGTTCCAACTTAATAAGTTTGATTAGGAAGAATTCTCAAAAGTTTAGACCGATATCAACACTTCGCATAGATTGCATTGAGATCCGATTGAGTCGTAAATTTTTTTCAATTGTTTGGTAAGTTAATTGACCACGTCCTAATTTATTAATTTATAATAGGACCTTCTATGCATCTGAATGGACTTGTACACAATTGTCTATAAACTTTGCACTCAGCATTGGAGTTCGAATGCAGGAGTTTCGAAATGATGACCAAAATAATCTTTTTCTTTGATGAGACCAGAAAAGAGAGAAGGATTACAGAAAATGAACTTCTATCAGCTCAAGTGTCCATTGATAGAAGAATATTCAGGGGTGTAAATTCATATTGGGTCGTATTATTTTTTGTGACGGATTATTTTGGTTTGTATCGTGTTTATAGTTATTGATGATACCATAGATCAGAATTAGACTCTCTTTTCTATATTTGACTTTGATAATCTGATGATAAAGTCCATGGTTGCATTGACAAGTCAACAATATGATTCTCTTGGTTACGAAATCGGAGCTCTTCATGATCCAGGGCAGCTCAATTATAAAGCTCAGCCTGCTCACCTTAACAGCTCTTTCGAAGGAGAGCATCTATTAATTAACCAAAAACTACCTAATCAGCTCGATGGATGACCACGGAAGCTCAGATATACGCACCCAAGGAAGAACTGGGTCCAACAAGACAGCCCGACCTTGGGCACAAAGTTACCGCTTCCAAGATGATGTCTTTTTATTTCTAGAAGGACACGTGAAACAGTGTCATAGATCTTCTAACGACAAAATATATCTTCATGATTCTAACTGATCGAGGGGATTCACACAATCTCGGATAAAGACAAAGGTTAGTTCCTGTAACCTAAGACGACTCACAATACTATATGTAAAAAAAAAAATATCATTTTTTACATTTACACCAGCTAAACATGTTATTGGTGTTTAACACTATTTCAATTTATTTTGTATTAATTGATTATGTCATTTTTAAATTCGTGTCATATTAGATTTATATTTCGGGCATATAAAATAGAGTAGACTCATCTAATGACCACTAACATTCTTTTCAAAATTATTCACATTACACCGTTCTTTCAGATACGAGCTATCCCTAGACTAGATTTAATGATACACAAAATTGACACCCCTAAAGAATATCTTGTCCGTGGGTGTGGGGACCCATGACCGAAGAAACGAACAGGAAAATGTTCACGTGAGAGACTGACCACCAGATTGAACCCAACCCAACCCAACCCATCCCTACTAAACTCCACCAAAATGGGCCTACATGACACCTATCCATTATTGTATGGACCACTACACGTGCTAAGTTTTTATTGTAAAGAATAAAGTGGTGTCTGATACATAAATCTGGTGATCTCAAATATATCCAAACCTAGTTGGGCCCCCCATGATTGAATCCAACCCAACCCTACTAAACACCCCCAAAATGGGTCTACAAGACACTTATCCTTTATTATATAGCCCACTTTTCGTGTCGAGATTTTACACGTGTTTAATTTTTTGTGCAAAAGATGAAGAGGTGTGATACATTCACATAGTAATCTTGAATATATTAATGTTGGGGTCCCGAGATTGAATCCCCCAAAATGGGCCTACAAGACACCTATCCAATATTAAATTGACCACTTTTTGTGTCGAGATTTTACACGTTTTAAATTTTTATTGTAAAAGATAAAAGAGGTGTGATACATACATATAGTAATCTCAAATATATCAATATTGGGGCCCCCCGAGATTGAATCCAACCCAACCCTACTAAAATCCCCTAAAATGGGCATACAAGACACCTATCCAATATTAAATTGACCACTTTTCGTGTCGAGATTTTACACGTTTTAAATTTTTATTATAAAAGATAAAGAAGTGTAATATATGCATATAATAATCTCGAATATATAAATATCTAGCTAGAAATACACCTACTCATAGTCGGAGAAATACTACAATTGCTTCCCGAGAGGTGGACCACTAAATTGTAACTCCAAATCTTATGGCGAATCTCTCAAATTAAATTTTTTATCAATTTCCATTAACTTAAGTTGATAAATATACTTTATTCATAAGATTTCCTAGACTAACTAGTTCTTTTACCAAAAGTCATAAGAAATCATTGAGGAACCATGATCTGTACATGTAAGTGAAGTCAAAATCAACCAATTTGTACACGTGTACCCTTTTGTTATGGGACTTGACTAAGGTGTCGGAAAAAAAAATTCGGAATCATATTTTAATTTTATTATTTTAATGAATGTTTTTATAAATTTTGTAAATTATTTTATAAATAAAAATTTATGATTTTTGTGGGTGATTTATCATTTTTTATGAGTATTTTTTATCATTTTTTGAGTATTTGTATAACTTTTATGGCACTTGTGATCGACTCTAAAAGTGGTAAAATTTTAGGATTGGGTGCAAGTACCACAAAAATGGTAAAAAACGGTTACCATAAATGTGACGTCCCAAAAGTCGAGGGTCTTTTCTCAACCTGTTGATTATGTTAAATATATTTTATTTAAATTAACTTTAAATTATTTTTCTTGTTTCGCAACTATAATCCGATCGCATTTATTTTGGTTATGCGACATCCGATCACATTGTAAAACGTAAAAAATTCGACTGTCTCGGAATTTAACAAACATTGACCGAGTAATTAGATTTTCACAAGACGAATCCAACAATGAGATTCATTTCGTATCAAAGTTGTAGAAAAAATCAAGTTTTTGACTCATACCGTAATAATTAATTACCATTTTACCCTTATGCATAAAAATTATTTTTTTTTCAAGTTTTACAATAAATGTAATAAAAATATCCATAAAAATAATAAACGACGATGGGAATTTTTTCTTTCTATACGGTAAACTTGGCCTTTTTTATATTATCTGCCTTGACCATCAGGCACTGGAGCCCCCATATCCCTAGTCCATGTACATTAGTGTTAGTCTCGAAGAAACAGATTTGATTATGAGGGGTTTGACTACGTCGTATCACTTATTATTTTTTGGGGGTGTATATTTTTGAAATTTAAGTATTAGTTTTTTGATAAATTTATTATTTTTTAAATAAATTTATAATCTTTTAAGGAGAATCTCATTTTGCACTTTGAAAGATTTAAAATTTTTAATTTTACATCCTCTAAAATTAAATTTCTCACATTATACCTTAAATATATTAAAAGTGTTGCAATGCAGTCATTCCATTGCTTATTCCTTAAAAAATTATCATATAGACTTTGACGGAATGAGTAACAGAAATTAACGGAAATGTGAGATTGTAATAATTTTAATACATTTAGGGTAAAATGTAAAAAATTTAATATTTTAATATACAAAATAAGAATTCCTAAATTTTTTAGAGTAAAAAATAGAATTTACCTATCTTTTAGAAAATTTATTTTATTTTTTAACATGATATTAAAAATTAAGAATGACAGTGGACTAAGGGTGGGGGGAATAGTCTCTACTCTTGTACTCGCTTAAAAAAAATTCGTCTATCTCGAGTCCACCCCCACAAGTCAAGTTTTAATCTTGATATCCGCCCCGGCACCCACCACCCGCCCCCATTTGCCTTCACTCGTGTCTCTGCTCCCGCTCTTGCCCTGGCTATAACAATTAATTTTTTATAATTTTAAGGAAAAAAATTGATAAAAAATCACAACAATTAAAATACAAATTGTATGCATGTATCACATAATATAATCAAAACCAAAAACAAAAAAATTAGTTAATATATGACTAAAAATTTAAAATCTTTCAAAGTGATATATATATAAATCTATCGGGTTTAGTAGGATGAGACAAGAAAAAATTTCAGTCAATTTCTATACATAAGAATATTTTTATATATATCTACCGTCTAATATGTATGATTCATATCTAATCTAAATAAAATATATTTAAACAAATTTTTATTTTTTTCACATTCACTATCATCCCTATTAAAAAGTGGATTCGATAGTGTTACCGATTATTATGAAAATTTTGAAAAGTTCATTCACTTTGCCAACAATGGAAGCACATGGAGGGGTTGACGGGGGGCCAAAATGGGCATGTCTAGTGGGTCCCTAATATAAATGAAGAAATAGTAATACGCACTCCAAGTTGTCAACATTTTTGACTTTGAAAACATGGAAAATTAGTTCCAAGCCCCAACAAGATCGATCACCTTCCTTCGTCTTCTTCCCAAGTTTTTGTCAAAAAAGAGAAACCTCCAAGTTGGTCATTTGGCCTCCACATTACTCCAATCAAGTCATATTATAAAGATGCTTCACTAAATGTATATAAATATCTCGATTAATCTATTTTTCGGTTTGATTAAAGACAGATCTTCTATATCGAGAATAGAATAATCATGAAGAATAAAACTCTCATGATCTGACCCCAATGGATCACTACATATAACTTCTGCCACTATAAATTTCAAGTAGAATTAGATGCATCTAACTTCAGTTTCATTTGTAAAGAAATTATTTTTGTGACCAAATCGAGTTTTATGAATCCCATACGAGTCATATTGTATCAAGTT